ACCCATCTTTTCAAAAGTTCATTTTATACCACTTCACTTTTATAAAGACTTACATTAGCACCTATTTTGGGTAACTGAAAAAATACGAAGATGTTTGCTTCTACATTAAAAGAGAAAAGTGAAACTATCACCCAACTATGTTTTGCTTTGTAGCAAACTGTTAAAGAGGCAGCACACATCCAAGCTACAAGAGTGCATCAACAAGGTCCTTCCCAGGAGACTACACTCAGCATCAAGACGCCGTGGTTTTGTACTGTGTCTGTGAACAATATACGGTAAATACAAAAATATTACTTAAAAAGCATGGAGTTTTTTTTTTTCCTCTAAATGCTTCTCTCTCTTTTTTTTTTTTTTTTAAGGTTTTTATTGTGGATTGAGTAAAAGTTTACAAGGCAGATCATCAGTTTTACATTCAACAAATCATACACCTTGTTTCACTGCAATGATTATAATCCCCTCCGCGTACCATCAGTTACCAGTATTTCTCTCTATTCACTTAAGCTTGTTTGTTTTTAAAAAAAAAAAAAAAAACCACTCAGGCATATATAATAATTTATACCACCAAACGGCACATTCTGCTAGTTGGCCTCCTGGCTGCCAGCTCTCAGTCCCTCTCTTCCCATGAATCTAAAGTCCTCAGACGCTCCCTCTCTCCATGTCCCCAGCTCTGCCTCCATCTCTGGTATTGCTGAGTCTCTGAATAATGTCCTGCATTCTGCTTGTGCCCTTCTTCCTTGATTGTCTCAGGGTCCTCTGTTTCTGGACTGTAAGATTAACCACTCCCCTGTTTCTGTTACCAAACTTCTACCTTTACAATTGTGAGAGTCGCAATTAGTCATGGTAACAATTACTCATTATTGAATCATACGAATCTTAACAGCATCTCTTTTCACCAGACCCATCTATCTAGACAAGATGAAAACTATTCAGTGGGGACTCTATCTTCCCGCACACACTATTAAACTACGCTCCCCCTTGAAACCTTGTAAGCCAGTCATTTTGTGCCTTTATTGCCCCCTCATTTTAGGTAGCCAATGTCTAAGTTGCCCATCCCTATCCATATCAGCTGGATATGGATATCAGCTTCCCTCTCAGCTCTAGCCCTCTGTCCTTGTCCATAGGCTCAGATGTCCCCAGGTTTCACCATATTTTGGACTAACCAGGCTTTATTCTCTCTCTCATCTCCAGAGTCTATGGAACGTGGTTGAACTCAACCCATTTATTGACTATTGCCTTTTCCCCTCTTCTACTCACCAGACCAACATGGGCACCAGCAAGCTTTACATGCCTGCTCATATGTTCCCTTTGAGTTTCAGTCTTGGCGAGGGGTTGGCATTGAAATTTTTATGACCCTAAAATACAGTTCATCACCGTTAGGTGCTAACAGGTTGGTTCAGAGTTATGTAACCTTATGTACAACAGAAACCAACACTGCCCTGCCCTGCACCACCCTCACTAACTGTTCCCATGTCTGAACCCCTGAAGCAGCCATAGTGTCTGTCCATCTTGTTTCACTGGGGGACTTCCTCTTTTTCTCTGACCCAGAACTTTACCATGATACCCTTCCCCAGGGACCAGAGACAAAGTAAGCCATTACTAGTAAAAACCCCAACTATTTTTCCTAAAGGTTATCATCTTCACTGTATATATTCAGTACTTATGATAAAATGCCCTAAAACTCTTAACAGAGTCACAAGCAAGTAGCTGTTATTTTCAAGTATACGTAGAGGGAAAAATACCAGAGCATTTTTTGCACTCAGACCAATCTAAGGGGAAGAAGTTCCTTTTCATTTCTATTAAGAAAAAACAAAAACAAAAAATTGAGTGGTTAAATTGAAAATCACAATCCAATCTCCCTCAAAACTGAGTAACCATTAAAATAGAAAGGCTGATTTAAACAACTGCTGTTCTTAGATTGAGGGATATGAAAAAGAAAAGGGCAAAACAATGAAAATTGTGCTAACACAGAATCTTAGAGTCATGGACAAAGATAATACAGTTGCAAATGCAAAAAAGGAGAAGAGCTTGTCACAGATGTCCAAGTTCACACACCGGCAGCAGACAACTATGGACTTCACTGATGGTGACAGTGCTTCACTGCCAAAACCGAATGCCTTCTTTGCCATAAACCGTTCCCCAACCATGAAGAATGAGTGCAGCAGTTAATGGTCAAAAATAAGTACTGTTGGGACTTCTGGCAAGATGGCGGACTAGGCAGATGCACTCCACGGACCCTCGACAACAAACACACAAGAGACAAAATCAAATGACACAGTTGAGAATTCCAGCACCCTGAATTTCAGAAGACAGGTTAGAGAGGTGGATGGAGTGCTTTCTGGGAGGAGAGGCTAAGCAGGGATGGGTGACAGAGGGAGACTGACGGTGAAGCGTTGGCCAGGCGCGTCTCGACCACCATGGGAGCAGCTTTGGCAGCGGAGGAAGGCCTGGCAGAGCAGATGCTCGCAGGCAATGAAAAAGGCATGTTTGCTTCTTTTTCCTCATGCTCCCCTGCTGACTAGAAGTGTGGCCAGTTTGCACTCGCATCCACCCCCAGTGCAGACCCTGCTTCTGGGAGTTCGGAGCCACGTGGTTGGGAGTCATGGCAGCATGAGATAGGGATCAGCTGTACTAGTCAATCACAAAAGGACAAGTATTATAAAAGACTATTATTGTAAAGCTTATGAAAAGGTTCCATACTAAAAGAAACATTCTTAGCTGGTTACCAGGGATGGGAGGGAGAGGTGAGTACTTCATAGCTAGAGGGTAGACACAAGTCAGCACTGAGAATTGGAGAGGGTAGTATACACAGAGAGGAAAGATGAAGACAGTGGAGACCCAGGGTGGTGTGCATGGGCTAAAAGGGACTAGATGGAAACAGTGATCTATACACAACTTCGCAACACCAGTGTTCTGTACACAGATACATGGATTGAGACACAGGCTGAATGAGTAAGGGAGGAAAAGTGGGATACACACACACACACACACACACACGTATATTTATATGCCCTGCCCTGGAGTCTTGGTGTGGCGCTGTGGGTTAATGCGCTGGACTGCAAAGTCGGTTTGAACTGCACGGTTGGCAGTTCAAACTCACCAGCTACTCCTCAGAAACCTTATACGGATCACTATGAGTCAGAATTGACTCAATAGCACTTAACAATTTACATATCCCACAAATATATTAGCATTTGAAAGAGGATATTTGTACATGAGTATTTAACCTTTCCCACAAACACATGTGCGAATGTGGTGGAGCATATTGTTGTTAAGTGCCATCGAGTCGGTTCCAACTCACAGCAACCCTGCACAGGGTTTCCGAGGAGCAGCTGGTGGGTTTGAACTGTAGACCTGTTGGTTGACAATCCAGTGCTGATCCTCTAGTGCCACATGGCGGGCACAATGATGAAAACTTCCTAGATATAATCAAACAGCTTAAGGCAATCTGCTGATGGGCCTGGGGGCTCAGGGTAATAGTTTCAGGGGTCACTGTGGTCAAGTGACATAACAGTCCACAATGACAAAGTTCTACATCCTCCCTGGGTGTATTTGGGATCTTAAAAGCTCATGGGTGGCCGACTAAGGTGCAGATTTTGGTCTCCCTACGTGGATGAATGAAGAGTGGTTAAGAATTGGAATTAGTTAGTCCAATGGACTAATGTAACATGCAAAACATCAGTCTCTACGTCTGATAGTAGAAGAACTAGGCAGTACCCAGACACCAATACCGATCACCCTAAGGGGATACACCTTAGAGGGTCCTGGATAGAGTAAGTATAAGTAATCAATGGCAATAACTCAAACTATTGCTATCAAATCTATTCCAACTTACAGTGACCCTATAGAACAGAGTGGAATCCTGGTGTGGATAAACACTGGACTGCTAACTGCAAGGTTGGTGGCTCAAACCCACCAGTCACTCTTTGGAAACCCTATCCAGGGTCACTAAGAGTCAGAACCCATTAGACAGCACTTAACAACAATAAAACAGAATAGACTTTCCTATGGAGTTTCCAACACAGAAGTCTTTACAAAAGCAGATGAATGTATCTTCATCCTGTAGGGTGACAGGTAGGTTAGTACTACTAACTTTCTTTCTACTTAGCAACCAGGCACTTTTACTGCGGCACCAGGGCCCATTCAGAGCTGGTTGTTATTGTTTTTAAGTGCCATCAAGTCGGTTCTGACCCACAGTGACTCTATATAGGGTTTTCGAGGAGCAGTTGGTAGGCTTGTGCCACCGACCTTGCAGTTGAAATCCAAGTTGCAGTCCAGCGCATTAACCCACAGTGCTACACCAGGACTCCCATTTAGAGTTAGTACTGCATTACATTAGACTTGCGTTGTCACAAGGTAACAAAACAACACTTGACTTCAAATGTAACCACTTTTTAATTGGGTCACCTTGTAAAGCAAGGGAAAGGCTAATGAAGAGTCAACTCTGCACTCAAAAGGATTGACTAGTAAAAGTCATTGTTGTTGTTAAGTGCCTTCCAGTCATAGGACCCTGTATAGGGTTTCTGAGGCTATACATCTTTGTGGGAGCAGAAAGCCTCAAACTGCCAACCCTGTGACTCAGTCCAGTGTTTATCCTACAGAGACAGTGTAATCCCAAAGACATACTAGTAGTTGTTAAGTGCCATCTAGTTAGTTCCGACTCAGTTAGGACTTATTAAAAACCCGCTCAGAATCTGTGAATAACAGTGCACATATGCATTTATTAAAAAGAAATATTTAAAACCAGTTTCCACATTTAGTAATAGCTTATCACATAATCTCTTTTCAGGCTCTTTTAAAAGACTGAATTTCTTTATCAGTGATTCTAGGCCTGTCACAAACTAGGTTCTAAATCCAAATGACAAAATGTAAGTGACTAAAATCATTCCTCTGTTAATGAATACATGCAACACTAAACATGTGAGGAACATCTTTAGCTTCTGCTTTACACAAAGATAAGCATGAAGCCAAGTACACAGAAAGGGTTTCTAAAGTAACCTTACACCCACAGGCTCGGAAACGTCTTGTCCCTAAACTGATCCCGGGGGTCTCTTCCCTGGGCAGACGCCCCAACAGCCGCGGGCCCGGTTCGAGGCCGTCTGCTGGGTCCCGGGTTTGGAGGCAAGCCCTCGCTGCGGCGGCCAGGCCAAGAGGCGCCGGAGGGAAGGAAAGGCGTTGTTTCTTCCAGCAGGCAGCACGCCCCAAGCTGTCCCGGCTCGGGACCACCTCCACCGCAGTGTTGATGGGGCCCTGGAGGACGGAGGCTGAGCTTCCCACACACCGTTGGGGCACCTCCTCTGTCCCGGACCGCTAGGAGTCCGGGAGCATCCTTACGTCCCTAACCCTCCAGCAAGTACACTCAGCGCCCGCCCTTCTGACCCTCGGAGTTCACTCCGTCTCCGCTGTCCGCACGGCTGCTCCTTCCGGCCTGCGACCTGCCCGCCCGCCCGGGCCCGGCCCGCCGCCCCTTACCTTCTTCACTTTCTTGCCCTCCTCCTCCATGGCGCCCACGGGCAGCCCCGAGCGCTCAGCCCGGCCCGCTCCTCGGAGCCCAGCCGCAGCCAGCGGGCGCTACATGTTCACCCCGGCCCCCGCGGCCTCCGCCGCTGCGGAGCTCATGGCCGCCGCCCCGCCCCTTGGCGCGCCCCGCCCGGCCCGGCCCAGCGCCACAGCACCGCCCCCCACACTTCCGGGTCCGAGCGCGGCACCGCGCCTCCTGAATCCGCGCGCGCTGGAGCGTCAGCCCGCCCCCGCGGCCTACAGGGCACTCGGGAGCGCGCGAAACCGCGCGGGACTTCCTCCAACTTTTTAACTCTGCCGCCATCTTTAGGGAGGACCACCTCCTCGGAGGGGTGGTGAAGAGGGGCTTGTGGGGAAGTGGGCGGGGCCTGCTGGCGGGGTCTGACAGGGTGCGGTCCCCTTCCTGTCAGTTTCCAGGAGATCCTCTCTCACCAAGCCACAACTCTGTTCGCTGAGGAACCATCAGAAAGTAGACTCCCCAGGCCTCATCCGAATAAATCACAAAGCCTTAGCAACCATCTGGTCTAACAGCCACGTTTACAAACGCAGGCCAGACACTTAGGTGATCTGCCCCAAGACATACTTCAAATTGGTACTACCAAGCGGGCCCAGTGTTTCCTCACTGTATCAGTGTTTCCTCACTGTATGAAATTGCGGCACGACTAGAACAGAAACTGACATCACAGTACATTGGTATTTGTTTCAAGTGATTTTAAAAAAAAACAACACTTTTTACATTGTGAATTCAGTGAAGGCTTACAGAGCTGATAACCAGTGTTACCATTCAACAAATCATACACCTTGTTTCATTACAATGATTACAATCCCCTCCATGTACCATCAGTTACCTATGTTCAATTTAACACTTGTATTCCTCCCTGTGTCTTCTACTACCTTCTTTCCTCTGCCAATCTTCCTTATGTTGTGTATTGCTTTCCCAATAACCAAGCTAACGTGTGTCCACTCTCTCTAGCACATGAATAATTTTCCTTTCCCTCCACTCCTGGTAACCAACAGACAAAATTTCTTTTATCGAGAAAATCTCTTCTTAATTTTTTACAACAGTTGTCTCATACAAAATTTGTCCTTTGGTGA